TTTGTAAAGTTAATTACCAAAAATGGATTTAAATATTTCGAGTGACCAAACATGAACGTTTTTTGTAATCTCAGTGACCAACCATGCAATTAACCCAAGGTTATTATTATTTTTAAATTTTTTTAAATTGACTTGGCATTAAGTTAACGGTCCAGTCAGCAATTCCGTTTGCCACATCATCAGAAAGTTGATGGAGATAACGAAATCTAACGGAGACTAGCGGTCGGTGCTAACAGTGAAATGATTCGTAAAGTCAGTGGCGAATAAGAAAGAAAAGTAATTCGAGTGGCAAATGTGATAGATTTGTATAATTTGAGTGACCAATCGTGTAATTTAGCCCAGAAAAATACATTATTTCTTCTCTCTCTTCCATCTACGACTAAAAGAAGAAGGGAAATATACATGTTCTCTACACTCTAACTTTATCTTTACAACAAAAATGAATCTAACAATCTCAGCTATCTCTCCTCTAATTCCAACTTAAATTGAATGATGACTTTTTCGTTAAATAATTCAGTGATAAAAACAGTATTACAAATCTAATTACCATACCATGCCATATGCCATATGGTATAACTTGCTAAAATAAAATAACAAATCTAACTAACATACAATACCACGTTGTATAACGTGGTAAAACATGCTACAAAAAAATTACAAGTCTAATTACCATACCATATGTTATAACATGCTAAAATAAAATTACAAATCTAACTACATAAAATACTATGTGGTATAACGTGATAAACACATGCTACAGAAAATTAAAAATCGAACTACCATACAATACCATATGGTATATCATACTAAAAAAAAATTACAACCCTCTACGACTATAGTAAAAACATGTTATCCATAAAATACATTTCGTTACCACACATTACCATATGGTATAGTGTGGTAATCTCTATATATATATATATGGTGAGTTCTACGGTACCCAGGGTGAAATCCGGGGTACCGCATACCTTGAGTATGAAAACGCTATCTAGACCTTGAATTGATTGATCTTTTGGACATGATGTCATACTCTAACTCTTAAAGATCAAAATCTAGGTCTTAGTTCTCTAAATCTTATACCCCAAGATCAATTTAATTAGAAACAAGAATCGATGGCTATTATTCGTCCAAATATAGGCAAAAAGATGAATGCTTCATCTTAGGGTCTATAGTTTATGATTTAGATAATTAGGACCTAGGGTTCACTCATTAAGGGTTAGGGTATAGTATCAAGCCCAAAAATTCTGCTAATTCGAGGTCTAGATAGTGTTTTCATACTCAAGGTATACGGTACCCTGGATTTCACCCGGGGTACCATAGAAGCCACCATATATATATATATGGCGTACGCTAGCCTAGCGTACGCCCCATTGAGTTTTGCTATATAGATCATGAATTAATCGGAGTTTGGGGCATGATACTATACCCTAACCTCTAATGGGTGAACCCCAGTCCCTAATTTTCTAATCCAACCATGAGGTTCGTTTAATCTTAAAATGAAAACCAATGAAAATTTCGATGAATCAGAATCGTTGATTTTCATTTTTAAGATTAAACGAATCTCATGATTTGGGTTAGTGAATTGGGGACTGAGATTCACCTATTAGGGGTTAGGGTATAGTATCATGTCCAAAACTCCGATTAATTCTTTGTCTAAATAGCAAAACTCAATGGGGCGTACTGTAGGCTAGTGTACGCCCCGACGTACGCTAGCCTTTGCCATATATATATATATATATATATATATTATATGGGTCAGACTGGCGTACGTCAGGCGTATACTATACGTCAGGTACTATTAATGAGATATCTCTATCTAGACCATGAATTAAATCGAGTTTGGGGTATGATACTATACCCTAACCTCTAATGGATAAACCCCAGGCACAAATTTTCTAAACCCCAACCCGAAGTTTGATTTAATAAAAAATAAAAATTGACCGTTGAGAGCGGCTGGAGCTCATCTAAGTACATCTAACGGCTAGATCGCCTGACGTACATCAGTCATCACCATATATATATATATGGGTGTCTTCTACGGTACCCCGAGTGAAATCTGAGGTACGGCATACCTTGAGTATGAAAACCACTATCTAGACCTCGAATTAGCAGGATTTTTGGGCATGATACTATACCCTAACCCTTAATGAGTGAACCCTAGGTCCTAATTATCTAAATCATAAACCATAAACCCTAAGATGGTGCATTGATTTTTTTGCCTATATTTGGACGAATCATAACCGTCGATTATTTTTTCTAATTAAATTGATCTTGAGGTATAAGATTTAGAGAATTAAGATCTAGATTTTGATCTTAAGGGTTAGAGTATAGTATCATGTTCGAAAGATCAGTCAATTCAAGTTTTGGATAACGTTTTCTTACTCAAGGTATGCGGTACCCCGAATTTCACTCTAGGTACCGTAGAACTCCCCATATATAATATCAAGGTATACTATACTTTTGATTTTATTCAAAATTCCATAGACAATAGGTATGACGAAGTATGTGCATAAATTAGAGGTTAGAGAATTAGGGACTGGAGTTCACCTAATTAGAGGTTAGGGTATATTATCATGCCCCAAAAAACTCCGGTTAATTCAGGGTCTAAATAGTAAAACTCAATGGTCGTATGGTAGTGTGGATACAAGAGTATGTGTGTGTAGTTCAGGTTGACGTACGCTAAATATTAGTGTTTTTATTGACAAATTTTGATAAAAGTTCTAAATGGGATGTGACAACGACAAAATTTATGATTAGAAAATCGAAGCATCACAAGTGAGTGTGCTAAATATTGAAAATTTTCAATATAAACATATTACAACCTCTGTTATGAATCAATAACACAATAGAAGATCCAAAATGATTTAAACTTATAAATAAGTTAATCAATATAAATTATAAAATAAATCTCTCAGGCAAACGGGCAGGTAAAAAGCTAGTAAATCACTAAAAACAGTATCATAAACTTTGGTGAGTTTCAATTCAACTTTTGAAGTCTGTTCCTTTGTTGGGCCTAATCAGATTATTTAAATCTATTATCCAACTAAAATATTTTTATTTTTCTACTGTATTGTTGTAATATTTTGACCAAAACATGTTAGTAATTTAAATGATATATTAATTAAAATAATAGCATTGTTTAAAAAATAATTACAAAAATAGCACCCAATCCCCAAACATTTACAAATATAGTACCCACCTAAGTCAAATTGAACTTTGACCATGCCCCACCCTGCGATTTTCGTGTAAATGCTTTTGAAAAATTGTGTTATTTTTTGGAATTTTTCGGGGTTGTGTGCTATTTTTGAAAAAAAAAATTAAAATAGTGCTATTTCTGGAAAAACTCCTACAAGGGACTTCTCCTTTCCTTCTTATTCATCCTTCTGTTTTCAATGAGCCTTTTTTTTTTTTTTTCTGAGTGATATCAATGGAGAAAAATAGTTAAACTTACAATTCTACCCAGGATCCCTAAAAGACTCTAAAGAAGTCACCCCAAAAAATCAAAAGATTCTACCTCTAAACGAGACAAAAGCAGTGCTTTACGCGCCACTCTATGGGCAGCACTGTTGGCGGATCTAGGTACCGCCCTAAACTCTATACAAACAGACAAAGAGCTAAGGATTTGAAGACACTCTCGTAACACCGGACCACCAATCGAGTCTTCTATGATGCCTTGACGAACTTGTTTGACGACCACTTCGGAATCACCTTCGACTATCACGCGGGTCAAGGATCTTGAGGCTACGATGGAGATAGCATCTCTAAAGGCTAGAAGCTCTGCCAAGAAAGAATTGACTAATCCTTGAAGCTGCAGCCCGAACGCCAACACCACATGCCCGTCTGACCCACGGATAACAAGCCCAGATGAACACCCGGTGGCACAAACAGCAGCGTCGAAGTTGATCTTCAAAAAGTCTTCTGGCGGAGGGACCCAAGAGGTGGCAGGATGGTTTGGGAGTAGAACTGCGGGGTGGAGGAGGAAGGAGAAGATAAGAGACTCCGAGGACCTGGTTGTAGAACTGGCTGGCTAGGGAACAGACATGAGGTTGGTAAAAATCGAAGGTCATTTTATTTCTAAACTTCCAGATTCTCCAAAGTAAACATATGCATTGGAGAATGTGGAATGGGGCGGTCTCAGAGACCATGACATGTCGCCACCATAGACTAAAGTTAACAGTCTGGGCGGTCTCAATAAAGTTGCTCAATCCCACTAAAGTCCACAATCTAATGGCTAGGGGGCATCTGAAGAATAAATGTTCAATACTTTCTCGATGTCTTCAGCAGACAGGGCATCGGTTAAGGCAGTTTACTCCACGAGTTTGAAGGGTCGATTTCAACTATAGTCTGAAATAGTTAGAATCCTCCCGTAACTAACGTTTTGGATAGTCAAATGCACATAAACTCATTAAAGTGATGACCATTAAAAGCTTTCTGGCGAAATCAATTGCCGGCAATGATGTATAATTACCGAATTGACTCGATTGCTGGCCAATCTGTTCTAGTATCGAATTGTTGGATGATTGCACTAATTAGGCATTGGGAGCATATTTATTTGCGGGAGCCCTTTGAATACGCCTCATTATGCTGGCGAAAGAATCTCTTTATTAGAGTTTTAAAACACTCTATCTCGTCATTAAGACGATTTGAAAGCACAATTAAGGCTTTTCCGGCGCTAGCCGTTTCTGGCCATAAAGCCTTGTAACCGACTTGAGAAAAAGTGGTTACTAAACCCAATAACTATTGTATTAAATGAGCATAAAGCCTTGTAACCGACTTGATAATAAGTGGTTACTAAATCCAATAATTATTGTATTAAATGAGTTTTGCAGGAGTTGGCGATTACCGAGGTATTAAACCTGGTTGTTTTCAATGAGCCTACGACTGTTGAGTTATGAGATTTCACAATTTACATAAACAAAAGTAAATAGTAAACACTAAGTAGTACTGAGGTATTAAACCTAACCAAACTCCAGACTTTTTACCAAAAAAAAAAAAAAAAACTCCAGACTAGAAAAATGATCTATTATTCCCGAAATCAGAATGGACAATCCTCTACCTTTAGCAAAGCACACCTAAGTCAAATTGAAATATCCCAACAATTAAACAAACTGAATTTGTTCTTGGTCTGTCAAATGGGATGATCAGTCTCCAAACTAACAGAGAAACAACAGCAATACCCAGAGGGATAGTGTCCACCTCCTAATGTTGAGGTCGATCCGTGAAAGCTTGCTGAACAGAACCTCCTTGACAAGGATGGGATTAGGTGCTAACCCTTATAGGGTTAGCACCGTGATAACTAGCAAAAAACGCTACTAAAAACAACGAAATCACTACGGATTATTATAAAATCAATACAACATCTAAGCTAAATCACTACTAACCCTTGGTTAGGACGGTGCTAACTCTTGTACAATTAGCACCGTAACTCCTCACCCTTGACAAGGCACAAGTTCCAAAATTACCCTGGAATTTATGGAACCCAATTACGATAATGAGAAAATGGAGTACCCAGCAGAAGAAGACAGCCAAATAGCCAACTAAAGGGCTACGTGATGCAGTTTGAGACTTACTATATCACTTGTTCTTGCTAGCAAACTTCGTAATGCTTCCGTACCAATTCCACTGGAAAAACAGAGCTACGACTCGCATTAGACCAATGGCTACCACCTCGACAAATGCCATCAAGGGCGATCTCTGCGGGGCTAAACCAGCTGTGGCAATGGCCAGCATCGCGCCCTCGAAGTTGCAAGGCACGAAGAAGCTTCCCAGCTTGATCCCGTCGAAGCATTTCCTGGCAACTTCATCTGCTTTCATTGCGCCAGATGATGCTGCTATGATGCTTGTCAATGGCGGCCTCGTCTTGGTTTCTGCAATCACAAGCACCTACGCTGTTAATAATTACTGCTGCAGTAGGCCCAAAAAATACAACTAGGGTGTATTTATGCGAACAGAATACTCCAGCCGACCCAATCACTCAGAATCGCCAACGGAGCAGCCAATCGAAACAAGGAATACTCTTCCAACAAACTTCGTAGTTGCTTGTTCTCAATTTTCACTCGAATTGGCGATTTAGCTAGTGTCCTCTTTACATATCAACCACTATTTACGGCACAATATGAAACAAGCACTCTGCATCTTGAGTTATACGATGCATTCTATTGCAGATAACCTGTTCGAGGAAATGCCCAGATGAAAACACCTTAGCTAGTGCTGAGGGGGAAATTAGATGGAATTCCATACCTTCAGCCAGACCAGGTGTTTCAGTGTCCGGAGGGAATATAAGAGAGACATGGATATCATCCGCGATGACTTCATGCTGAAGCGCTTCCGCCATGCCCCGTAGCCCGAATTTGCTAGCGGAATAAGCCGTGTATCCATAAACTCCCACCTGAAAAATCAGCAGTTCAGCAACAAAGCAACCAAACGAAACAAGGCTCGGATTATAAAAAAAAAAACCGCCGTAACTACCTGGCCGGCCTGCGATGACATGAGAGCGATGGACACCGGCCTCCGATCCGACCGGCTCTTCATCCCTGGCAAAGCAGCTTTCACGACATTGAAGCTCCCCAACAAATTGACGTCAATCATGAACCGGACCTCGCTCAATTCCTGCTTCTCCAGCTCCCCCGCGAAGAAAACCCCTTGGTTCACGATCAGGACGTCGATCGGGCCGGCGGAATCCACCGCCTTCTTCACGGCGTCGAAATCCCTAACATCCGCCGCGTAGATCGCGGCCTCGATCCCCGTCGCGAGGCGGATCGAGTCTCTGGCCTCTTCCAGCTTGTCGAGGGATCGGGCTAGGATGGAGACCCTGGCACTTTCCGCTGCCGCCGCCGCGTGGGCAAGGGCGAGGCCGATCCCGCTCGACCCGCCGGTGATGAACACATGGCGGTTCTTCAACGGGATCTTGACGGGACGTGGGCGGACGATTAGAGCCAAGAGTGCGAGGAGGGCGAGTGGGAAGATGAGTAGAAGAAGAGTGCCGAAAGCGAGGTTCGCGTCCGCCATTTTTGGCTGCTCCTCTCGCACACTCAGTTCCCCCGAAAAAGTGCAGTCAAACCTGGGCCCGTTTAGTATTGTTGCTTGTTTGTTTTTGTTTTCTGTTGCGTTTTAAGAAATTTGGAAAACCAAGAAAAAAAACGTGTTTAGTTGGGTTTTTATTTTTTGTTGTGAATCAGAGTTGCACAACAAGACCCAAATATGAGAAACAACAATTTATAGCTTTGGATCTGATTCTTAAACATGTTGCACACGGGATTCCTACTGGTTGGGCGCTTGATTTCATTAAAACAGACCAGTTTTCGAATCCCCACAGAAGCAAATTTTTTTTTAACACAGCCCCCCCCCCCAAACCCTACTTCCCCTTTTTCATCATCTTCTTCTTCTCGACAGAACACAGCCGACACCCATCTTCTTCTCCCAGCCTCCGCGCGGCGCGACCCCTCTGCCTCCGCCAAGCGCCGCTCCGCCTCCGGCCGCCGCAGCCCACACCGCCTCGCCTCCACCCGCTGCAGCCCGCGCCGTCTGGCCTCCGCCCAACGCCGCCTTGTCTCCGCCCGCCGCAGCCGCATATCTCTTTTTCTGGTTTTTAGTTCTTATAGTAGCAACTAAACGCGTTTTTGTTTCTTGTTGTCAGCTTTCATTATTTTTCAGATTTATCAACTAAACAAGTTTGTGTTTTCTGTTTTTTTCCTGTTGTGGTTGTACATCTGTTTACACAACACCACTGACCACTGCAACCACAACAGCAACAACATCAAGAGAGCGCAAGAGCGGTCACCATAGAAGAATTTAAAATTAAAAGTCGTCAAAAGAGGGTGACTATTATATTATTTTTAATTATTTTATATTTATAATGCATTATTCATCAATCATTTATTTAGAATTTATTTAGAATGTATAATATTTTCGTATGGTCTGAACTTTGAACAAAATAAATATCCTGGCCAATCTTTTCGATCTATAACATCCTGGCCCGAATTATACACCAAAATAAACAATTTGGCCAGATCCGACTTTTGACCGTTAACTTGGACGGTCAAATGCGTTGACCGTTAATCAACGCGCCATATCACTGCAAAGTCAGCATAAAATATTTAAAATAATTTACATTTTCCACACATTCTCTAATTTTAAATTATTATAAATTAAAAAAATCATCTAATACCTTAGTTAAACCAAAAGTAAAAAACAAAAAAAAATTAAATATTTATCAGATCTTCTGACTTGGCAGTGACGTGGCGCGTTGACCGTCCAAGTTAACGGTCAAACATCGAGTTTGGCAAAATTGTTTATTTTGGTGTATAGTTCGGGCCAAGATGTTATAGATCGAAAAGATTGGCCAGGATGTTTATTTTGGTCAAAGTTCAGGTCGTAAAAAAATATTAACCCTAATTATAACTAAATAGTACATATAAAAAGTGACTAGCGTTCATGTTCTAGTTTTAATTTGACTAATTGTTGATGTCGGGGTTGTAGCCGATGTCGATTTCTTCAATCTTGGGCCCCGAAGTGATTTGAAGTGCCCTTTATCGTAACCTTACTTCGTGAAATTCCCTCCGATAGCTTCCTACAAAAAAGGGCCCTATCAGGCGATTTCGGCGGGACACCCTCCAACGCTCAATTTAGTCCCTAGTGTGGGGGATTGAGTAGTTTACAAAGTGCTTCCAGGAGGTGAGACCGGAAAATGAGAGTCACTGATTGCAGCGGGCGCTCTTAGGGTACTTCCCCCGGTCTCTTGCTTTACATATTCACTGGAGAGCATGAGCTAGTTATATAGTATCTACCTGGGGGGGGGGGGGACAATGGGAGGACAGATGTCAGCGTCGGAGATGAAAAAAGGACACGTCACTGGACATGTGTCATCTAGGCCCATCTGCGCCCGCCACGTGGTTGTACACATGTCAACCATGTTTTTACCTAAGGGGAACACCCTTGCTACATGCAGACTAATTGAGTAGAGGGCATGGCACATGGGTAGGTAGGAGTGCATGCAATGGATCCAGGTGGGGAGAATAGATGTGGATCCGAGTATCGGGAGCAGGGGCGACAACGAACCCTAGCTCCCGGAGGAGGGCGGAGTCCGGGAGCAATATCAGGCCTAGACGCCGGTAACCAGACGAGAGGCGAAGGCCCGACGCCGGGAGCAAATGTCCGCCGCCGGGAACCGGGACAATAGTGGACCCCAGTTGCCGGGAGGATGCGGAGCACGAGAGCCGGGGTCCGGGAACGATTACGGGCCTGGGCACTGGGAACCGGACGAGAGACGGAGGCCCGCCGCCTGGAGCCGGTGAAATGATTGGCCCGGGTGCCGGGAGGAGGGCGGGCCCGGGAGCCGGGTGCCGGGAAGCGGACGAGGGTTGAAGGCCAGCCGCCAGGAGCCGGGACAATGGTGGGCCCGGATGCTGGGAGAAGGGCGGAGCCCGGGAGCCAGGGTCCAAGAACGATAACAGATGCGGGCGCAGAGAAACGGATGAGAGGTGAAGGCCCGTCGCCTAAAGTCGGGGCTACGGTGGGCCCGGGTGCTAGGAGGAGGGCGGAGCCCGGAGCCGGGGTCCGGGAATGATAACAGGTCCAGGCGCCGAGAACCGGACGAGATGTGAATGCCCGCCGCCGAGAGCCGAGGCAATGGTGGGTCGGGGTGCTGGGAGGAAGGTGGAGCCCGGGAGTTCGGGTCCAGGAACGATAACAGGCACGGACGCGGGCGCCGAGAACCGGACGAGAGGTGAAGGCCCACCGCCGGCAGCCGGGACAATAGTGGCTCCGGGTGCTGGGAGGAGGGCGGAGCCCAGGAGCTGGGTCCAGGAATGATAACGGGCCCGGGTGCCGAGAACCGGACTAGAGGTGAATACCCGTCGCCGGGAGCCGGGGCAATAGTGGTCCAGGGTGCTCGGAGGAGGGCAGAGTTGGGAGCCGGGGTCCGAGAACGATAGCGGGACCGGGCTCCGGGAACTGGATAAGAGGTGATGCCCGTCGCCTGGAGTCGGGGCAATGGTGGGCCCGGGTGCCAGGAGCGATAACAGGCCCAATAATGCAATAATGCATCGGAGAGAGCCGGACTCGGAGGGAGGAACCCTCAACTGGAGGCCATCGCGAGCCATTATTTGATTTAGTGTTGGTGGGCCATGGCACAATTGTGTACCGATTGGAGCTGGACGTGCCTGGCCCAATATTTCACCGGAGAGAGTCGTGGGCTGGGCGAGATTATGGCCCAGGTGCAATGATGCATTGTTTGGGCAGATGGTGAGCTGGTGTAGTAAAAATATTTTTACATTGGGTATATCATTTGCCCCCCTTGTCGGCAGGAATATGAAGATTCTCGGGGTCAAGCATGGTCTACCCAAATTTAATCTTGAATGTTAATTAGAAGGTTACCTATCTTTTATATATTTTTATTTATTTAATATTGGTGTGTTTGGGAAGTGCACCAGTCTTGGATTTGGGGGAGACTATTTCTCTTCCCTATGACTTTGGCCTTCATTCTTCTTGATTCTCATGAGCTTAATAGAAGACTGTGCATTTTTGTTGAATTTTGGTCAAAGACTGTTTGAAAAATGCACAAACCCTTTGACTTTTAGAAGAGAAAGTGTTCTCTTCCATGTTTTCCTCCCCTTCATTCTCCTATAAATAGTTTATTCCCCCTTTCTTCATTCTTCACTTCATTCTTCTCCAAGTTCTCCCTTTCCTTCATCGAGAGAAAAACTTGTTAGTTAGGGGGCAGTGGCAAGGCGGAGATTAGACATTGGAGACTTGATCGTGTCAGGTACGACATCTTTCCCCCTCCCCCCAGCACTACGTAGTATGCTTGCATGCAGGGGGGGAGGGGTAGGAGTACTTAGTTTTTTCTTTTCTCTTTCGTCTCAGTTATGGCAGATACGGGTAGGAGATCCATCATGTTGCTAGGGCGACGCTTTATAAGTGAGTCTCGGAGGAGTGCGTTATTGGTCCCAAATATGAGGGCATGTGTGGCATTCTCTGTAGAGAGAGTGGTAACCCCGACAACAATCGTGCTGAACTAGGCGTAATACTCCTTGAGGGTCTCATATTCCCTTTGCTTGGTGTTCATGAGGTGTGAGACATCCACGTTAGGTCTTTTCTGAGCGAAGAACTTAGCGCGGAAGAGGGTGGCAAATTCTTCGAAATTGTGGATTAACCCATTAAGTAGTTGGTTGTACCATTGGAATGCTACCCCTCGTATGGTGGCAGGAAAGAGCTTGCACATAGTAGCATTAGATGCCCCCACAAAGGGCATCAGAATCTGAAACGCACTAAGGTGATACTCTGGGTCAGAGGTCCCATAGTATTCTGGCAGGTGGTGACTGGTGCGGCATTTTGAAAATTAGGAGGATTAGGCTACTCGAGAATAGTCTGGGCGAGGGCCCTTCCGTGACCGCGGTCAACGAGGAAGCCTGGCGTGAGATGAGCCTCCAAATAGGAGAGGTCGGTTCGGGAGGGAGGGGGTGGAGCTGACGTCCCATTTGGCTGGACGGCCCCACCAAGGATTTTTTGTTGTTGACTTTAGCTACCATGTACGCTAGTGGAACCGGATGAGAGGTGAAGGCCAGCCACCGTTAGCCAGGGTAGTGGTGGGCCCGGGTGCCGGGAGGAGGGCGAAGCCCGGGAGCAGGGGTCCAGGAACGATAACGGGCGCGTGCGCAGATAAACGGACGAAAGGTGAAGGCTCGCCGCCTGGAGCCGGGGAAATGGCGGGTCTAGGTGCCGGGAGGAGGACGGAGCCCGAGTGCCGGGTCTGGGAATGAAAACCGGCCCGTGCGCCGAGAACCGGACAAGAGGTAAAGGCCCGTCGCCGGGAGATGGGACAATGGTGGGCCCGGGTGCCGAGAGGAGTGCGGCGCCCGGAAGCCGGGGTCCAGGAACGATAACCGGTCCGGACGTAGAGAACCGGAAGAGTGGTGAAGGACTACCGCCTGGAGCCGGGGCAATGGTTGGCCCGGGTGCCGAGAGGAGGGCGGAGCCCAAGAGCTAGGTCCGGGAATGATAACAGGCCCGGGCGGCGAGACTCGGACGAGAGGTGAAAGCCTGCCACCGGGAGCCGGGGTAATGGTGGGCCCGGGTGCCTGGAGGAGGGCGGTGCCT